GATTTCATTTGGATTCTGTCTGCATTGAGCCCCGTGTGATAAGGTCCAAAGTGTTATGACACAGTGTTGAATACAGAATATTTCTTAAAATGGAAATCCTGCTGAGTAAATAGTCAACCAATATGAGAATTTTTTTTTACATTTCAAGAAAAACCCACAGTAAACCATTTTGCACAGAAAACAGTGTATTTTGCACACAATATACTGTTTTCTATACAAAAATGTTATTTTTTGGGAAAAGCAATTTCCCCCAAAATGATGTTTCATAACTAGGTCTCAAAGTGTGAAAAATCATGGGAAATGCATAAAAAAAAAATCTTTTGCCTAAGGAGAAACTTTGAAAATATTTGGCTTTGCAGATGAAACTGGAATAAGCCTAGATCTACAACCCTAGGTGCAACACTAGCTGTTTTACAGAAGCAAGTTAAATACTTCTCCAGGTAAACAACTGTAGTTCTTCCAAGCAGCCTTATCAAATGTCTTTAACTTGAACTCAACTGGGCTTACTTCTAGTTAGACATACTATGCAATTATAATGTAAGAGTTTGTTTACTAATGTGCTGAAGTGAAATAAATTTAAGATAGTTGTAGAAGAAGAAGAGTATGGTTTCTCAGAAGCAAACTCCATGGATTCCCCCCTCCTCGCCTAGACACCACAGAGCCTCAGAAAATATTATTTTCTAATTGCCACAAAAGTTTGGGTACTTCACTTGCTTGAAACTTCCTATTCCTGTCCAGCCTTTCAAGTATAATCCCTTCTACCACTTTAAACTAACCCAGTCAATGGGTTTGCTGAGTTTAGAGTGACAATTCAGGAGACCATTGGAAGTGTAAGAGAGGAGCATGGTCTATTCTGGAATAGCCAAATAAACTATAGGAGGCTGGATGTTTGTTTTTGGCATATATTATTTCCATGGCTGCCTATGTTATTTTAAGCAAGATTGAGAGAGATACCAAAATGGCTTTGTTGGATTGATCTTAAACTGAATAGCGATGACTGAGACTATAGCCATTATTGGGGCTAATTTAAAAGCAACACTTGAATAATTGAAAACAACCATGGCACATCTCCCTCTTTCTGCTCTGCCATGGTTTTGCACCATGTTTCATGGGGAGGGGCTAAAATGATAGTCAGCTATTGGAACACAAGCAAAAGTCTTGTCAGGTATCACATCAGTGGGGATAAATATTAAGAAAACAATATGAACCTGCACTTAAAAACCATCACCAGAAGCTCAAGCTACTATTTAGTGTTAAAATTAAGGATGCAATCCTATATACACTTATCTGAAAATACTTCCCATTGATGACCAAAGACTTACATCTCAGTAGACTTGCCATAGGATTCCTCTGCAGATAATTTCGAAGCATGTTTATATAAACCTTCACATCTTCATTTATGTTCTTCTGATCAGCAGTTATTTCTCCCCTAGAGCAAAATTTAAGCGATAGGTCTTCACAAAACTCATATCCTTAAACACGATTTGAGCTGTGTGGACTAACTGTGGCATATTTAAATTTATATTTAAATACTCACAATATATAATCTAAATGCAGCTCCTAGATTTACCAGAATGTTTTGAAACAGTACAGGATTTGAGAATTGTATTAACTATATGAAAGAAATGTGGACTTTGTCTTCCTTGATAGTGAAATATATAATTCCATTGGAAGTTTGTGTAGGCTTTGAGTATTTTATTTGGAACAGTTTATTTTTTTTCCATGTTCTGGTAAGAGATTTCATCTTGGGCAAACTAAAATAAAAACATTGCAACAATAATATCCAAATTTTTATTAAGAGAAATGGTTTGCTTCAAGAAATATTTTTTCTGTTTTTAGCCTATTTTCAGCTAACAAGAATTGTAGTTTAAAACAAACCAATCTGCCAGATCTTCTCAACAATAATCATTACATGCTTTACATGTACCGGTAAATTGAAATTCCCTTAGATATTGGCTTAAGGAATAAGACCATTACAATCATTAATGGACATTCAACAACCTTTAGAATTACACCACCTGAGTTTGGGTGAATTTACACCTTCTGTTAAAAAAACAACAGCACTTTTCTTAGCCATTTTTTCCCCTAAAACTCTGAGCTCTGAGTTCACCCCTGTGGTACCCTGTGAGGAATCTTCTTCATTTTCCTATTTCAGTTTCAACTTTCTGTGCTGTTGAAATGTTGTTTGAGAGAACATGAGCTTTTTCTTTCTTTTTCTTTTTTAAAAGACATTTGGCCAGTGATAAATGACATCCTGTCAGGTGATCGCTCTATCCTCCATTTCTAATCCTCCATTTCTAAGGGTAGTTCTCCAATTCCAGCTGATTTTCATCATGTTGCAAGACTCAGCTTCAAGAATGTGAGACTATGAAATGTAATGAAATCACACGACAGGGAGCCCAAAATACTTTCTGTGGGATTTAGTATGACTTGCACTGTTATTGCATATGTGAAAGATCTATGGCTTGTTCAAAAGCTCAGTGGAGTAAAAATCATCAGATTCTTCCACAGAGGTGGGGATGAGGGAGAGAAACCAAACAGATAATTATCACTACCTGCACTTTTTTCTTGTTTACAGTTCTAGACTTATATGCTGGAGGCAGGAACCTGGATATGTATAGCAGGTTGTCTGGTTGAAGTTTTACACTGGGGGAAGAGATACATTTTCTTATAGGTTGATATATAACAAACCAAGATATTAGGACTAAACTGTAATTAGCTAAACAAGCTCATACCGAAATTAAACTGAATTTGTTTTGACATAACATAAAGGAAGTGGACACATTTGGGGAACCACTTGTAGGCTACATGGCTTTCCAAGTTTAAAGTTACATGGTATCTGTCTCTTTAATACAGGGTCAGGCAACCTAAGGCCTGGGGCCAGATGCGGCCCCCTGAGGCCTTTGGACTGGCACCAGGCTGGTCCTGCCCCATGATGATATTGATTATTGTTGTTATTATTTGTTCTTGGGGTTT